GGTTCTTGTTAAGCCTGGTTCTGGTTAAGTCTGGTTGTGTTTAAGTCCGATTCTGGTTAAGCTTGTTTCTGGTTAGGTCTGGTTCTGGTTAAAACTGGTTTTGGTTAAGTCTGGTCCTGGTTAGATCTAGTTAGGTCTGGCTCTGGTCAAGACTGGTTATGTGTCAGTCTGGTTATGGTTAGGTCTGGTTCTGGTTAAGTCTAGTTCTGGTTAAGCCTGGTTCTGGTTAAGTCTCGTTCTGTTAAAGTCTGGCTCTGGTCAAGACTGGTTATGTTTCAGTCTGGTTCTGGTTAGTTCTGGTTCTAGTTAAGTCTGGTTAGGGTTAATTCTGGTTATGATTAAGCCTTGTTCTAGGTTAATCCTGGTTCTTGTTAGGCCTGGTTTTGTTTAAGTCTGTTTTCGGTTAAGCCTGGTTTTGTTTAAGTCTGGTTCTGGCTAAGCCTGGTTCTGGTTAATTCTGGTTCTGGTTAATTCTGGTTATGATTAAGCTTGATACTGGTTAATCCTGGTTCTGTTTAAGTCTGGTTCTGGTTTGGCCTGGTTCTGGTTAGGACTGCTTATATACTCAAGTCAGGTTAGGGTAAAACCTGGTTCTGGATAAGTCTGGGTCTGGTTAAGTCTGGTTCTGTTTAAGCCTGGTTTTGGTTAGGTCTGGTCCTATGGTTAAGTCTGCTTGGGGTTAATCCTGGTACTTGTTAATTCTGGTTCTATTTAGGTCTGGTTCTGGTTAAACCTGGTTCTGGTTAAAACAGGTTTTGGTTAAGTCTGGTTCTGGTTAGATCTAATACTATTTCTGATTAAGCCCGGTTCTTGTAATCCTGGTTCTGATTAGGTCTGTTTCTGGTTAGGTTTGGTTCTGGTTAAGCCTGGTTCATGTTAAGTCTGGTTCTGGTTAGGTCTGGTTCCTTACCGGTGCTCGTCCCCTCGGGGTCTGCGGTGCTTTCTGCCTCTCCTTCTGTGTTTCCGGCTGGTGGGGGCGGAGCTTCCAGTGACAGCGCTGACAGCTGTTGAGAGAATAAACAGAGTTGATTTCAGACTTTCTTCTAGTCAAGTCAAGTCAGATTTATTTATAGAGCACATTTAAAACAGAAACTGTTACCAAAGTGCTTAACAAATAAAAAAATCACAGCATCAAATAAAAAGTAACAAGATATATGTACACCACATGGAATAAATATGTAAAACACATAACATAAATAGAAACTATGAAATATTAAATCAGATAACCTTGTGTCAAAAGTCAAGGAATGATAACAAAAAAGCATCAACTCGGTCAGAAAGAATGAAACACTAAATCAGATCAGTTGACTGTGTTAAATAGAAATAAAACAAAAAGCATAAGTCAAGTCAAGTCAACTTTATTTATAGAGCACGTTTAAAACAGAACTTATCAAAGTGCTTAACAACAACAACAACAACAACAACAACAACAACAACAACAACAACAACAACAACAACAACAA